AACAAAGAAAGATGACACAGTGGACGATCATATGAAAAGAATATTAAATTAAAAATAAATAGAAGAAGATTATATTTAAAAAACGAAACACAAACATCTACATTATAAAGTGATGTAGAAAACTAAAAACAGGAACATTTCTGCGTTGGTTTTTGCCATGAACTTGTTAAAAATACTTTACAGAGGTCAAAGGTCGAGAGCTTCAGATGTTTTTACAAGATATTCCAGGAAACAGGAGCAGAGTAGGAGAAGGTCCTTTTGTCTAGTTCAGTCCTCACTGAGGGAACACTGCAGGTAATGATGTCCTGAGAGCGCACGCTGTAGCTGCACTCACACAGAGACATGTAGGAGGAGATGTATGAAGGCAGCAGACCAGGAAGTGATTTAAAGATGAAAATGTAAAATTTATTTATTAATCAGGAACTTTCTCCTGTAAAACTGTTTCCTTGACCAGTCCGAGCTGAAACCTGCAGGCAGAGCTCAGAACGTTTAGTCTGACTTGTTTGAATACATAACCTTCTTGTGTTAAATTAATATTTAAATTCTGCCTCCTCTGTGCTGACGTCACGTGCAGCTGTAGTTTGTTTGTGTCCAGCAGGGGGCAGCAGCTTCATGTCCTCCGCTCGGTTCTGCTCTGTGAAAATTTTCATTTTTCCATTTCACCTTTTATTTAACCAAACATAAACACTAAGAACAGATGATTATTCACAGAGCTGGCCTGGCAGCACCAACAGGTTCCTGTCAAGGGAAACAATACAGTTAGACAGAACAATAAAATATAGAAGTCAATGAAAAGCAAGGAAATCACAAATGGCTTTTAAACAATTGTTAAAGTAGAAACTGAGACGAGTGAAGTCAGACTCAAAGTTTTTGAAGCAGATTCTGGTCAGATGGAGCAGATCCAGACAAGTTCTGTAGAGGTTTTATTTACCTGTGTGTACCTGTTGTTTACCTGTGTGTGTACCTGTTGTTTACCTGTGTGTGTACCTGGTGTTTACCTGTGTGTGTACCTGTGTGTGTACCTGGTGTTTACCTGTGTGTGTACCTGTGTGTTTACCTGTGTGTGTACCTGTGTGTGTACCTGGTGTTTACCTGTGTGTGTACCTGTGTGTGTACCTGTGTGTGTACCTGTGTGTGTAACTGTGTGTGTACCTGTTGTTTACCTGTGTGTGTACCTGTTGTTTACCTGTGTGTGTACCTGGTGTTTACCTGTGTGTGTACCTGTGTGTGTACCTGTGTGTGTACCTGTGTGTGTACCTGGTGTTTACCTGGTGTGTACCTGTGTGTGTACCTGGTGTTTACCTATGTGTTTACCTGGTGTTTACCTGGTGTTTACCTGTGTGTGTACCTGTTGTTTACCTGTGTGTGTACCTGTGTGTTTACCTGTGTGTGTACCTGGTGTTTACCTGTGTGTTTACCTGTGTGTGTACCTGGTGTGTACCTGTGTGTGTAACTGGTGTGTACCTGTGTGTGTACCTGGCGTTTACCCGTGTGTGTACCTGGCGTTTACCCG